CCCCAAAACCCCAAAACCCCATAATGATGATTCTTGTAAAATTTTGATAAAAACAGAAGTTTTACTGTGAATTAAGAAATATCACTACCTAAAATGTAATTTTAATTATAATTTTCGGATTATAAAGATATTTTTTAGAAAAAATAATTATATTTTTAGTTTTTAATTTAATTAAAATGAGTCAATATGAAAAGATAATTTATATCCCACTTTTGCTCTACAACTTAGTTTATCTTTTTACATTGATTACTTTATCATTTCTTTTGCTAGCTAGATTCAAATTCAAAATAGATAAAGCTGCTTATCTTACAATATTCTACTATATTTATGCACTTTCAAACTAAAATTATCAATGGGACTTGAAGTATTTACTTATTTATAGAGTAAAAAGTTTTAAATAAATGCAACCAGTGTTAAATTTCAATGACTTCTTAGATCAACTGATGATATATCCTTTTGAGATAATTCTTTTTATATATACCTATGAAATGAGACTTGTTAGAAATTAGATAAAATTCAATACATAATTACAATTCAGAGCTTTCAAAAAAAGAAATTATAAAGTAAGAAACATACTGCTAGCTATAGACTTGATACTTCTACTTTCTAATTACTTTGTTTCTTATTCAATTGGATTAAAACTATTCGAAGGTGAATCCTTAAGTTAAATGAAGATTATATTTGTCTTGACAATTGCTTTAAGAATAATTCTCTATGGGTTCCTTCTTGTTAAGTTAATTTAGTATTTTAGCTTTTTCGTTGGTTAAAAGATGCAAAGAGTTTATGAGAGAGGGCAGTAAATTTCATGCAAATTCAGAATAGTTGTAATATGGGTTTATTTTCTTTTTCTATCATACTTCCTAGATGTGATGTTCGAGTCTGGATTATAGATTTTATACGCCTATGTACCAAATAATTTTTACAATTTTAATTTGATCTATCGATATGTGTATATGACTACTTATTTAATGAGTCAAGCATTGACTTTCCTCTATCTTTTTTATACTTAAGCCTCCTTTAACGAAGCAGAATCACCAATTTACAAAAATGGTAAATTAATATCGAAAGACAAGGACACGCGATATGTCACAACACTACTTTCAGAAGATAACCCTCATTACATTGTAAATGATGGTTACAACAATGTATTAAAATCAAAATAAATTTCTCAAGATATTTAGAGTTCAGACTTTCATCAAACAAATTTCAATAACGAATAAGCTATCTATGATTATGAAAATCAGGGTTCATTTGATGAAAGTAGCAGCAAAATAATTTTAACAGATGAAAGTGCAAGTGAATTCAATGAAGAATAAGATTATAGTTAGCAGTGTTTTCTATCAGACTCTGAAAGTAGTCAGTTTATAAGATTTTTAGAGGGAAGTATAAAAAAGTCAATATTATAAAATTCCTCACCCAAAGGACAAAAAAAAATATTAGACAAGTCCTAGAAATGAATAATATTCGAACATAATTTTTAAATCTATTGCTTTGATTGTATTATTTATTTTCAAAAAGTGATTGATAATAGATTAATGGGGTTTTGGGGTTTTGGGG